CTCATTAAATTAATTAATTTCCTAAATACTAAAAACTCTTGAATACCCACTTGCTTTCCACTTGAATCATAAGATAATTTGATCATAAAATCAAGAAAAAAGAAAATTGGGAAAAAGGTGCAATAAAACAATGTTGGGCCGTTTTGCCTATATAACCTAATTATTTCCTTAGGTGGAGCCCATTACCATTTATTAGAAACAGTTCTAGTCTCATTAGGCAGCCAAGGACTTAAGGACACAAAACTGAATTTGACGATCATTACAAGATTAGTCATTTTGTTCGTGAGATGGAAAGGACAACCCAATGCTGTGTATCAAAAGAGAGATGGAAGAAATGGCTGTTGGTCACGGTAAATTTCCCATCAATGGTTGCAGTGGTGTGGAATCTTCCCACAAAGCCATCAAGGAATTCCCAAAATTGAAGCTTCTAATTTGCATATTTCAATTTTGGCAGAAGATATTCTTATAATTTTTCAAAGTTAGGGATATGGCAGGGTGGTAACAACGTCTCCAAGAATATTCTTAAACTTATAGACTAGGAGCTACCGACCATTTCATTTAACTGAAGGATTTAAAGCCAGTAACCATTTAAATTCAGGATAAATATCATCTGAAAACACAACTTCGGTCATTCGGTTGAAAGCCATTGTTTTCAATACTAAAATTTAAATTAATGAAGTGATATTTGGCGGTTAATATAACGGAAGAATAGACGGCTGTAATTTTGATATGATGTAATGAATGTGTCCCTAAAAGAAAATTCACCTTGACTGATGATGTACTTGGTAGTGTTTCGAAAACTGACAGCATCAAATTCATCAAATTAGTCCACTTGAATTCAAACAAAATTCAAGTAGTCGGTTTCTCTTCTGTTTTTTTGGGATGCTGAATCAGAATTCGAAGTTCCTGAATGAAATGAACCATTGCATTCCAAGAAATATGCAAAACAGTGAATTGTCTGCGCTTTTTTGACATGGCTCCAAAACTATGAATTTTATCGAAATTGTTATTATATAAAAAAGTAAAGAAAAGAAAATCTACTATCAATTTTATAGAGATCTTTTTGATGTATGACCAACGGGCGAGGAGTTCGAGCATATAGACTGTTTGCTTATTTCACAAGAAATATCTGTTTTCCTCGGTTTTTCTCCAAAAACTCATAATTTATGAATTTCTCGAAGAAATTCAATAAAATCAATTTGAAAGAGCATTAAATTTCCCTATTTACCACGTCATATAGACACGTTAATATGTGAGAAGGTTAAGCGGCTATTAAAGGTCACAGAATCGATGGCATATTTCACTCATAGTATCTGCCTCACTCAACTTAAGCGTTTTTTATTTTATGCTTTTGATTCGGCTAATTTAACTATATTTATAACAGGAATAGAATGTATAAAAAATTACATAGATTTTATTTGTTCTGTTGGTATGATGGACATCAATATCAATAACAATAACCAACAAATTAAGGAACGAAATGCACTTCCAAGTCCGAGCGGTCCAATGGCATTTCGCCAAATCTTATATTAAGACTACATAAGCTTAAATAAAAATGAAATTGCATATAGCCTACACATATGCATCTAAACATCTCTACATTTTTTTTTTTTTTTCAAGAAGGTCTATTCTGTGTCATCCTAGACTCAATTAAAACAGGCCAGATGCCTTTGCGAACCTGTTAATACTAATAGGATCTATTAGTTCATAGCACTCAGGGTCAGTGATACGATCACATCTAAAGTGTCCTCTATGCTTTTGTTGATCTGGTGGTAAACCTGGTTCGCTTTAGAAATCCTGTTTGCTAATTCTTGGTCAATCCTACCAAATCTATTTATGATGGTTCTCAGGTACACGAACTGATTTACTACATCGAGGGTCTTCCCATTATAGAGCATTTCAGAATTTTTTTTCTTAACTACGCAAGATCACCTTTATAGACGGGAATGGGCCTTGACAAAACATTAGACATTTCATTTAGATTCTGTCAACCCCTATGAGAAGGGTTCCTTTTTTTTGCTGTAATGACAAAATTTCTGTCACTCCTTGGTGTCATAATGCACTGAGATCCACTAACAGGTCTCTTATTGGTACTTCTGGTTTCTCTGAATTTGGCTAAAGCCCGGAAGATAACAATATAGGAGACATAAACTGCATTGTTTGTTGCTGGTGCCCTTGAGTGCTCATTCTCATGATAATATTGGGAACCTCTGGTTCAATATGTCTTTCCATTATTAAACAAATATTACTGGATTAAAATTAAGGATAGTCGAAAACAACTGTTGGATTACACTGTGAGTATTCTTCATATTGACTGTCCTTTAGATAATAATTTATTAAAAATAAAGAATACTTGTTGTTTACCAAGAAATAAGAGAATTCCTAACAAACAAAAATTGGGTATTTAAAATAAAACGAATCAAATAGAAATATCTCTATTCATTTTTGAGCAGTTTATAAGATATTTTCTAACACGCTCAATAACAAGTTACGTCCTTTTGCGGAGAGGGCGGTTGGGCAGTATCAGAGTGGCTTCACTAGAAGGAAGTCCACCAATGACCAGCTGTTCACTTTAAGACAGATCCTGGAGGAAATGAAGTAATTCAACACCAACACCATATATATGTTTTTTATAGACTTCTGGACATCATATGATAGTGTGTGGCAAGAAGAAGTATATATGGCAATGGAAAAACTTGAAAATCCATCAAAGCAAATATGATTGGACAGGGTGACTATGACGGACACCTGCTGCCACGTAAGAGTGCAGCAGATATATCAAATAAATTGACACTCTACAGTGCATTAACTTGAATCTAGCTGTAATAAGCATAGTGAGAGATTCTGATAAACAAACTATAGGCACTTTATAAACAAAAAACCAGCTTACACCAATGATACAGCATTTCCAAGTCAATGTCAACCTTTTCCAAGTAAAATTCAACCTTTTCCAAATCAAATTAAACTTTTTCCATTTCAAATTAAACCTTTTTTTATTTATTTAATTATTTTTAACTTTTCGTTGTATCGGTCAGTTATCGTATGAGTAGTTTATAAAAATGACCTCCCTTTTAAGATTACGCCACTGCATTTCGATTTATTTAATTATTTTTAATTTTTCGATGTATGGGTCAGTTATCTAAGAATATTTTTAAAAATGACCTCCATTTTAAGATTACGTCACTATGTTTCGACTTGTTTAAGTTTTTCGGATTTTTTCCATATAAGAGCATATTCTTATGTTTCCGGAGCCGCGGAGTTTGAAAATGACCTCTATTTTAAGATTATGCCACTGCGTTTCCACTTATTTAAGTTTTTCAAATTTATTTGATATAAGGGTCTACTTTTATGTTTCTGGAGCCGTAGATTTTGAAAATGACCTCCATTTTAAGATTAAGGCGCTGTGTTTTAACTAATTTAAGTATTTTGGTTTTTTTTTTCAATATAAAGGTGTATTCTTATGTTTCCGAAGCCGTAGATTTTGAAAATGACCTCCATTTTAAGATTACGTCACTGCGTTTCGGTTTTTTTTATTTTTTCCTTCGAATTTAAAATAAAATATGAAGGATTAATTTATTTCTCAGTCAAAATAAATAAAAAATCTATAGTCTCATTTTTAAATTTAATTTTAGTTCTCTTTTTTGATATTGTGGTATCCTCTTACAAAATTATAAGATACGAATTTCGAACAATTAGCTGAATAATCTGAAAATGGTAGGTTAAATTTATTACCAGTTGCTTTTTCTGCTATTTTTGTGTTTTGTGGTTAATTTAATCTTAGCTTCATATATTTAATTATTCATACTCAAAAACATATTGATGAAACGCTGTTGATCTTAAAATGGAGGTCATTTTCAAAATCTACAGCTCCGGAAACATAAGAATACACCCTTATATGGAAAAAATCTGAAAACCTTAAATAAGTTGGAACACTGTGGCGTAATCTTAATAAAATGGAGGTTATTTTCAAAACCTAGAGCTCCGGAAACATAAGAATAAACCCTTATATGGAAAAAATCTGAATAACTTAAATAAGTCGTCACGCAGTGGCGTAATCCTAAAATGGAGGTTATTTTCAAAAACTAGGCACACAATAACATAATACTAGACCCTTATATCGAATGAACAGGAATAGGTACAATAAATCTATATTCGAAAGTTTAACATAAAATCGATAGTAGTTTGAAAAACTCTACTTAGGGGAGCATAATAATAGACCTTCATATTGGAAAATGGCCGGTATTTCGAAAAAAAATTGAAACTTTAATTTGAAATGGAAAAGGTTGAATTTAGATTGGAAAAGGTTTAATTTGAAATTGAAAAGATTGAATTTGACTTGGAAAAACTGAATATGAAATGGAAATATAATGGCGAAAAAATCTAAAAAGTAAAAATAATGGATATTCAACTGCGTTATCACATTTTTTTTTTGTATATTTTTAAAGCTAGGCCTTCAATAATATAATAAGTGGCCTTTATTTTGAAAAAAAATCGAAAATTGACAAAAATTCGAAAGTTGAATTTGAAATGGAAAAAGTTGAATTTGACTTGGAAAAGGTTGAATTGACTTGGAAATGCTCTCTCTCTCTCTCTCTAAATATATATATATATATATATATATATATATATATATATATATATATATATATAATTGTGAGATCCTTGACAGCTATGATAAGCACTTACAATTCGCTAGTCAGCAGCAGTGAAGATAGGACTTGAGGTCAACAAGGAAAAGACCAAGTATATGACAACTGATAGCCATCAAACTGGTCCAACCATCCCAGTTGGTAAATACAACTTCAAAAAAGTTTAGAGCTTTAAACATTTAGGACTGGTAGTGACTGCGAATAACGATATGAATCAGGAAGTAACGCAAATACTTCTTGCAGCAAACAAATATTTAACAGCAATAAAAACGTCTAACAAAGTATTATTAACAATTTGAGAGGAATGAAATACTGTCTAAAAGGGAATCAAATTATGTTATTTACACCTACCCAACATGAACAAACATATAACTCAAAAATCGCCATATCTCAATTCTTCTATAAGGATTATAAATGAGCAACATAGCAGCGGGTCCAGTGAAAGAATGTCCTCCTTTAAGTAATAAATCGTAACAAAATAGGCTTATCTGAAAAAATAAAAATCAGATAAATTGAAAAGAAAAATCAATTACATTAAAATAAAACTAAAATTTTAAATATATAGTGTCTTAGCTTCAAAGATTTTAAGTCAGAGAAGGCAAAGTTTAAACTGGTCAAGTAATAAACTTTCCATCATTAAAATATCCTGGCAAAAGCTCAAAATAAAATATTATTTATGTTATAGATTAACAGAAAGAAAACTACGGAGAGAATGATGATCTTTAATATACGAGATTAACTGATACATGTTTGAAAAGGGCAGATGTTATGTGTATACAGAGAAAAATAGTAATCCTAAACAAAATTGGGTGCTGGGGGGGAGCAAATGGATAGGGTAATAGGAGATGTGGAAAGAGAGAAGGGTGTGGGAATCTCTTCCCCCTTTGTGGAACGATCAAGCATTAGTGCCCTATCTACTGCTTGTAACTTCACAGTCCACCCTATCCCTATCAAAACCTACTGTCACCTTCTGGTAGTCCCCCCCTCTCCCACAGGGAGTCTGACGGAACTCCTGGACAACAGAGGTGCAGACCTTCAGTTCTACCTATCTGGCAGTTGTGATGCTCCTTCTCGATACCCAAGCCAGGAGCTCAAGCTGCGGCTGAGTTGCAGGGGGTGTATAAAAATACATTATCTATTCAAACCACTTGGGGGTGAAGGGTTTTTCATCCCCATACTCATGGGACCAAAATGCATTGCAACATACTTAAATAAATCCTACTGTAAATGACCTGGGCAGTGAGGAATCTAGACCTGACACAAAGCGTACTAGATCCTCACCAGGGACTTTGCCACTTGAGGCAAAGAGGGCCAGAAGTGGGAAAACCAATATAATCTCTTATTTTTTGGCTGCTGGGGACAGTAAAGTGAAAGTTATCCCTCAATGAAACAGTAGTATCCATTACCTGTAATCGTAATGGAACAGTAGCATCCTTTACCAGTGGTATGAAGATGGAGCATGAGCTGGACAAAGTGGGGGGGGGGTCTCATTCATTTCTTTCTAATGCTAATTCTCAGACTCGAGAATGATAACTTAGAAGCTGAGGTGAAGGAGAATACACTTGTGGCACAGATCAATATGGACAGAACCCTTGGCTGTAGCACATACTATAGAAAGGTAGTGCACTGGTTTAATCTAATCCTAATGATATATTCAAAGTGAAACTCCTATTTTTTTACAATTCTATAATGCCAGGTTAACTGGGTTCTGTCAATATTTCCATCCAATTTATTTCTTTTTATCTTTAAAAACACAACAATATTCAATTTATTTTAATCTTTCTTTAAGTTTTCTTAATTCCAAACTATTAAGTAATAGTATATTAATTTAAAATTATTAGACAATCATACAAAAAAAGACAATTAATTAACAAATGTTCAATACCTCAACTATGCTCACTAATAACATACATATTGCTGGTGGTTCGCATGTATATTGATCTTCATATTCTCCATCTGTGAGATCAACAGATTTTCGGCTAGAAGGTGGAATTACATGCTTCATATACTGTAGCAAAACTTTTTGAAAGTAATTTTTTGACCTTCCGCTTGACATCTGCAATAATACATCAGCCTTAGACATAGTAGCAGTATTAATAAATGTTTCCAATATTAAAAATAATTAGATAAACAAAGATTTAACTGGACTTATTTAATAATTATAAAAAATTAACACATTAAACTATCAAAAACAAATAATTACTTAAAGTGAAGAGAAGACTGGTTGGAGTGTTCAATAAAAAAAAGTAAAAATAAATAAATTATATATATTAATTACTTAGTTGTACAGCCTTTAGTGCAACACAGATCACTAATACCAATGGCTACTGTGTAAAAACATTGATTGCCAAGAAGTAAACGAGAAATATAGAGTCATCGTAAGGGTTGTAGGCACCCAGGGCAGAATTTCAACATTATTTTTATTTTATTCAAGTTTAAACCAAGATTAAAAGAAATAAATCAGAATTGGACAGTGGATAGAATTAGCATTTAGTCCATGGTACAGACCACCTTTTATCAAATTATATTTGAAATACTTAATAAAATACCTTTTATTAAAAGAAGAGCTTGAAAAACAAGACTAATTGAAATACCGAAAGTGTAGCTGTTGTACTGCAGTCTGTGGGTACAGACCTCTCATTATCAAATTATCAACATCCGACTAAAGCTTCGAGAATGGTTTCATCTTATCGTAATCAACAACTTTTTTATTTACCAAAATTCTCAGAAATGGGTGGTTGTTTTCAATCTGGATATCAATAAACTTTGTCAATTTAAAGAGGTGCTAAAAACTCATGAATACCTATTTGCATTCCATTTAATTACAAGATAATTTGGACAAAAAATTGAGAAAATATGTTTCCTGCAAAAATATTGCCGCACTAGGTGTGATCTCCACCTCCAAAATGTCAAATTAAAAACATGCTGACAAGTTCAATAAAAAGTTGAAACATAATTTTATCAAAACTTTTTGTCTGATTAAATTCTCCCTTTATAAATCATAATCCTTTATTTATTTACAAATTATTTACTGGGTAGGAAAAAAATCATATTTGAAAAACAAACCACAACATCATTTAAAGAAATAAATTAATATTATAAATAAATCTCACCAGTTTCAAAAAGTCATCATAAGTGATGAAGGAATTCCCAGTACTCTTCATTTTTTGAATCTTTGGAACAGGGACATACACATGGTGTCTTTTCAATTCTTCTGATAATTCATCAATATCTATCCTTCCATCTCCATTATGGTCAAGCTAAAAATCAATGATGCAAAGTAATAATAATTAATTTTAAACTAACTGATTCTTGGTTTATTCCTAGACTTTAAAGCAGCATACGACAGCGTTGATAGAACGCAACTATACTGTGCCTTGGAGGAGCTAAGCATCCCTCAGAAGCTCGTACGCCTAATCAAGATGACCATGGACAGCTCGAGATGTAGAATACGCGTCGGCTCTGACGACTCCGAAGAGTTTAAAGTGAGCAGTGGGGTTAGGCAAGGGGATGCCCTCGCCTGTCTATTGTTCAACTTGGCAGAGGAGAAAGCTGTAAGAGACTCCGGTATTCAGACCAACGATATAATCTTCAATCGCCTGACACAGCTTCTTGGTTTTGCTGATGATATTGACATAATAGGTAGGTCTGAACAGGCTCTCAGAGAAGCGTTTATAGGCCTTGAAGCAGCTGCAAGACCACTTGGTCTAGAAGTCAACGAGAGGAAAACTAAGTATATGAGAGTTGGTGGTGAGGTGGATCTGAACTCTCCATTTGAGGTAGGTTCTTTTAAGTTTGAGAGAGTGAAAAGTTTTATATACCTTGGGTCTGAAATTAATAGCAAAAATGACATGGCTCAAGAAATACAAAGAAGGATCACGGCTGCCAATAGATGTGTCTATGGACTTGGCCGACACTTAAGAAGTAGGTACCTCTCAAAGAAGACCAAGCTGATCATATACAAGACTCTTGTTCGGCCTGTTTTGACATATGGCTCAGAGGCTTGGACGATGACCAAAAACGATGAGATGAAGCTGAGTGTGTTTGAGCGAGGAGTCCTCAGAAGGATTTATGGTCCAGTAAAGGAGGGTGATGTCTGGAGGAAAAGAAAAAATAGGGAGCTCAGTTCTCTCTATGCAGACATCGCCGTAGTCACCTATATTAAACTGGCCAGACTAAGGTGGGCAGGGCATGTGGCCAGAATGAGCACCGTTGAGATACCCAAGAAAATAATGATGGAGGAGCTGCACCTCGCAAGACGGGTAGGAGGGCCGAGGACGAGGTGGTTGGACAACGTGGCCTATGATGCGAGAACCCTGCTTGGTGTACGGAACTGGAGAGCTGCAGCAGAAGACAGAGCCAACTGGCGGAGGCTCTTGGAGGAGGCCCAGTCTCGGTAACGGGATGTCGTGCCACACATGAATGAATGAATGATTCTTGATTTAAGAGAATATCGACAGCCACAATGCAAAAGCCTGTAAGGACAATTTCTATGAAAATGAGGTTTTGAGCTTTTCTGGTCAATCATGTCCTGGCGCATATACTGATCCACAAAATGAAATCTACAACGTTTCATTTCTTCTCTATGGCCTTTTGTAAAAACCTGTAATTTAAAAACCAGCAAAATGTGATGTAAAAAACTGTAAGTTATAGTGAAGTTTATAGAGATTGTGTTGTTACCGAAAAAACGTAATGAAATGCTCAATGAAAGGTGGTCATGTAAATACATAATGTATAAAGCGTTTTGCGCATAGACTACAGTATCAATTAGCTTTATTAATGGGCTAAACTTAATTTTTCTCATACACTTAGCATTATTTTTTTAATTCTCTAATAAGTGCCGGGCACTTCCATCCCGGTGCCTCTGGGCAAATGCCCGAGTTCTTCTGCTCTGAGACAAGCACTGCTTACCATGGAATTAGATGAAGCAAAGAAGAGAGTGATTAAGAGGGAATATAATATTAAACGGCTTTCAAAACAATCAAAAATGCCTGGATACTGCAAAATGTGCTTGAATGGAAAAAAGCTACAATGCCGCCGAATTTCAAATAGTGGGAGACACAGAATTGATTTCATTAATTTGAAAATTTAACACGAGACGAAAAAAGAACTCTAGTTTCAACTTTCCAAACCAATGAATCTTCAAAACCACAAGAAGCTCAGAAACGAAGTGTTCTACACATACTTACCAAGCATTCGTGAATCAAACCATGTCCATATGAAGTTGAGTACGTTAAAAACAAATCTTTCATAGACTACTCAAAAATAAGGCGCATGCACTCCATTCGAGCCACTCCTACAGTGAATAACCCGTGTGATCAAATACTCGCTTTCCAGTCAAATTTTTTACAAATTTTCATTTGAAGTCTCGTTTCTCTACATTTTGTAAACTGACTTCATTCCTGTCATGCTATGATCATTATTAACAAAGTTATGGGTGTTACTACAAAAAATTTGATTGTTTTTACCTAACTAATACCTGCTTTTCAAAGTAACTAAAAAGCTATAAGTTAGAAGTAATAGTTCTGAACAATTATTTGGCAGAAATATGATCAAAAAAGTTATATCGAGCATTACATCTTTGTTTTAGGCCTGCAAAATAAATTGAACCGAAAATATAATGCTCATAGAACAAAATATACACTTTTTTTTTTGTCTCCTGAAAAACTTTAGTTTTTGTTCTTTCAGGTTTTTACAGTGTGGCTGTCAAGATAATCTATTATCTAAATATTAGTACTCCACAAACAATAAAAGCTAAGATAAATAATTGAATTACATATATACATACTTTCCCCGAACCCCACAAAACTCCATGGTAGAATTGCCTTATGATATATCATCTCAAACCAGGTTTGGCCCACAGGAAGCATTTTTTGCATTAACTTCTTACCCACTATATCAAACAAGCATTCCACCACCTGGGGCACACCATTAAAGGGGTCAAGTAGCAATACAGTGTTTTAAAATCTGTTCTAAACTTTATGCACATAGTGAGCTGAGGTTATCACTAGGTATTAGAGATAATCAGCACACTGATCATTTTTATTCAATTCTAGATTAAGTTAATCATTGATATTTAAATATACAAGTAGTGTTCTATAAAGCTCAATAGTAAAATTTTAAACCTGATATGTAAATTAACCCTTCCAAGTGCCGAGAACATAAAAGTTGAAATCAGGTAAAATGTGGCTAGGATTACAAAATACTTGAGATCCTTATTTAGTTGATAAAAATTGCCAACACCATCACTTTTATTTTGGCCCACTTGGACATTTAACTAGTTTGTTTGTATTTTATACTGTTGAAAACAGAGATAAATTAATGAAATTACATTATATCTTTGCTTTAACTATTTGTGGTGAATTCACAAATAGAAAATTTCCTTTAAAGATTTGAGAAAATTTTGCAGCTTTCTCCCAAAAATCATTTTTGGGGGGTATGAATCCCATTTGGTATTTAACATCTGTAAAATTTTAGGTATGTTTTTAATAATTGATATATTTTCCAGGGCTGTCATATAAAAGAAAAGTGTTTATTACTTTTTAGGTAGATAAGGAAGTAATTTGAAGAAAAAATTTCATCTTGTACAAAACAATTAAAACTTTTTTGGTAGCCACAGGGGAAAGAAACATTGAATAGGTCCTGGCACTGAAAAGGCTAAGGTTTATTGTTTAAAGTACGGTAAAATAGAAGAACTTTACACTTAGGAAGTAACATTACTCCAAACGTGAATAATTTATTTTGTGATGAGAGCTAAATCAAATACACTGACAGGCAAAACATTCCACCCACTTGATTTTTTCATGTTTTCATATAAAAATATTTCTGCTTTGGATTGGTCATGGTATTTGTAGATAATACTTAGTATTTATGGAATTTTATAATCTTTTTTACCTTTAATAATCAAAATGTGATTGGGTAAGAAAGATTAGAGAAAAAAAAATTGAAAAACGAACCATTACTATTCTAAAAGAAATTAATTACATCATCGTTTAGTAGCGCGTGTTTCCTCCTCTTGCCTTCACTACTTCTTGAAGACGCCTTGGCATACTTTCCACCAGTCGGGAAATGTCCCTTTGCTGGAGGATAGCCCATTCCTCCCGAAGAGCCCTTTCAAGGTCCTGCAGTGTATCAGGAAGTGTTGCACGCGCTCTTATTCGTCTTCCGAGGTTATCCCATAAATGCTCAATGGGGTTCAAATCTGGAGAACGTGCTGGCCAGGCTAAAACTTCAATATTGTTCTGTTGAAGGAACATCTACACTATGCGGGCGACATGTGGGCATGCATTAGAATAGAACGATCGCCGATTTCGTTGAGGATAGGCAACACATGAGGTTCCAAAATCTCATCTACATAGCGAATGGCCGTCAAAGACCCTCCACGAACAACAACCAATTCTGTGCGGCGCTCCATTGAAATCCTAGCCCACACCATTAAGGAACCACGTTGGAAAGGTTGGCTCTGGGAAAAATTACAGGCTGCATATCTTTCGTTTCTTCTTCTCCACACCCTTTCACACCCGTCTGGAGATCGAAGAGCGAATCTTGACTCATCTGTAAAAAGTACAGCACTCCATTCGTCCATAGTCCAATGGCTGTGTTCTCGAGCAAAAGCCAGCCGTGTTACTCTGTGAGTTCTGGTCAACTCTGGTCCTCTTACTGGACGAAAAGCCATTAATCCATACTCATTTAATCTTCTCCGAGCGGTACGTTCAGAAATTTGCACAACTCGAACTTCTTCGAGCTGATGAATCGCTTGAACAACGGTAAGGTGCCGGTTTCGTAAAATTCTCAAAGTCAAAAACCGGTCATCCCATGGTTCTGTTACCCTAGGCCATCCAGAACCGGGCCTTCTATTGTAAGAACCAGTTTCCCTGAAAACGCCTGACGGCGTCTTGTAAAGTTTCATATGGAACTCCGATGGCATTAGCTGCATATCTAATGGAACGTCCATCATCAATAAGTGCCACACCACGCGCAACATCCTCAGCACTAAGAGGCATTTTTAAACTTAATATTGAAAAAATTAAAAGCCGGAGAGTAAGAAATGTGCTGCAAGAAACGGCACTAAACTAATGATACTAAATAAACATTTTGATTCCATAGAAAGTAAACATTGGAATCTAGAATCATTTCATTGAATTAAGGATTAAGGGTTATTGTCCTCTATATTAACATCTAATTGAAAACAAACAAAAAGATTACCTATTTATTCATTAAAAACAATAGACCAATGCAAAGCAGAAATATTTTTAGATGAAAACATGAAAAAATCAAGTGGTTGGAATTTTTTGCCTGTCAGAGTAGAATGAGTCACTTAAGATTCATTTCTGTATAAAACTGAAAGTTAATTCACTATGAAATAATTTTTTTCTGGAAGTTGAAAACAAGAAAGTTATTCTACTTTTGGAGCAATGTTACCTACAAAAATATTATGTTCCCCAGTTTAATAGTACTAAATTGTTTTTGTAATATTTTAATACAATTTTATAATTATTCTAAAATATTCTAAAAAAAAAACAAGTTTGATTCTAAAACAGTTAACTAAAGGCAAAAATGAGAATTATACTTTTAAAATTACTAAATTTATACTGGCCCAAATCTATTAAAAAAAAAAAAAAAAAGAATATTGAGAAAACGGCATGCATAAAATTATATTTATATAAAATAAATTGTACTTTATAAGCATGCATTTAATTATATACTGCTCAAAAATAAATAGGGTTATTAGTTCTGTATGATTTATTTTTTCTAGAATTTTTATTTTATTTTTATCACAAAATACATTGAATATAAATATAAATAAGAAATTTGACCTCAGGTGTTGTAAAAAACTAACAATATTAAAGATTTATGTGATCTTGTTTTTATGATTGTGAATTGTAAAAGTTAATAATTTGTATAATATCCACTGTTACACACTACTCTCTGCACCTATTGAGCATACAGTTTATATCATTGATTTCACAAGAAATTTCATGATAATCTAAATGATACAAAGTATTCACAAAATATGCAATAAGAAAATATATATATTTATATGGGGCTAGGGTAGCCTTGCGGGCTAAGGCACTTGCAATAGATAATCAAAGTTAAGCAATGGCGAGCGTGGCTTGGATGGGTGAAAGTCCTCCAAGGAAAGCCACGCTGCCCTAGATAGGAGAATTTTAAATGCGGATAAAGAGAGGGCATTTTAGAATTTTAAAGGGAGGGAATTTCAGGAAGTAGCAGAGCGGACAATAAGGAGCTTTGGAATGAGGCAGATCTGTGATAAGGGATGTAAAGATCAGATGGTCGGGATCTTGTGGTCAGGGAATGGACTGAGGACTTAAAGTAGAGAGTGTTATAAAGAAGGATTATAATTGAGAAAAGTCAAAAACAACTGTTGGTTTACAAAATGAGTATTCTTCATGTTGTCTATCTTTTATTTAATAATTTATTAAAAATAAAGAATACTCGTTATTTACTTTTTATGTACAAATAAGAGAATCACTAACGAACAAAAAAAATAGGGTATTGTAATTAGAACAAATAAAATGAGCATCAAATAGGAATATCACTATCCATTTATGAGCAGTACATATATGATTTTTTGTTTCCTCAACAGTTATAATAACATACAGGCAAGGGTACAGGCCCTTTGTTATCAAATTATTAACATCTACCTAAAACATCGTGAGTGGCTTCATTTTATCATAACCTTGGCTTAATTTTATCTACAGAAATTGTTTTGGCCACACCTCTAGTCCCCACCACAGATAAAAAAAAATAAATAAAAAAAACCTGTACCACTACAACCCACGGAGGGTCTTTGGTTCAGTACTATTTAGAGAAAGCACTGTTTCTAGATTAACAGTTGTGCAAGGAGGGGATTTGACCGAGATCATGCTCAATCGCCAGGTTTTTCCCCTTAATCAATTATTTAATTAAGGGTACCCACTTTATAGAGGCTGGGTGTGCCCCAGGAGGGTCTCCCGACCCAGGGTCGCCCCACGGCCAATGAAACAGATAAATAAATTTTCTGTCATGAGCCGGGGTTCGAACCTAAGACCTTTAGCATTGGAAGCTCAGTACCCTACCACTGAGCTACCCCACTCCCCCCCCCCCCCACAACAGATACCAGGTGCAATATAATTACAAGTTACTAGCTAAATATAAACCATTTTTTATTATTTAAAAAATACAATCTCAATATTATATACATTCTTTATCACTTAAAATTGTTTGCCAATTCACTAATTTTTTTTTTTCCAATACACACCAATAAACACTGAATAATTTAAAAAAAAAATATTACCTTAGCAAATATGTCTTGCAGTTTCTGAAACAAAATATAGAAAAACAGTAAATAAACAATATAAGTATAAATCAATCTCTATAAATAAAATCCATATATTAAATAATCGAGCACACACACACCTACAGAGATGAAGATGTGACAGAGAACCTAGAGCTACATTATAGAACTCTAATCATCAGAAAAAATTGAACTCACAAGGAAAAATTATCAACATTTTTGAGGTTGTCGACGAAATTTCCAAGGGTCAAACCTGGACAAAAGTTGCATGAAAAAATTGTAATGTTTCAATTACTATAAACATTCGTATTTCAGAGTTTTTTAAGGTGTGAAGAACGAATGTTAACTTTATTTCCCCCTAAAAAATTTTTTACTATAAATATTAGGCCGGCTTAGAAAAAATATATTTGACAGATAGCTATCATATGGGAACAAATTCAACCATCTGACATATCAATGTGAGGGTAAATATTTTTTTAAGAAAAAAAAAATTGATATTTATTTTTGGCACCTCAAAAAACTTTAAAATACAAATTTTTATAGCAATTGAAACATTAAAATTTTTTGCATGAAATTTTTGCTTAGGTTGAAACCTTTAAAATTTTGTCGACAACTTCAAAAATTGTGATAACTTAAGGACAGTACCACCGATTCACACGAAAATTATTAGGGATTTAGGGCTCGGTATACTACATGAAATAAATTAGTACCAAATATATAAAATAAAAATGTTTGAGAAGTTTTTTTAAATTTCGATATTAAAAAGGAATCCAAAACTTATTAATATGGCTTGGAAGAGTAGTGAATTTGGAGAAAATCTGGAGAAGTTATGAAGTTTAGTTAACGGCTGGAAAAACAATCTCTCAAGAAAATCAAGTACTAAAATTAGGAATTTATGATATCTATAAAAATTCACATTTAAGAATTTTAAAGAACACTAAAAACAAATCTGACTTAATTTTTCATTACGAAAATTTACTTAGCCTACTTTACTGGAAGCGCCTTATGCTATTTTGTTATTTAAGATACTTTATAACTCATTTAGTACCATAGTCAATATTTTTTTATTATTCTGTTCAAAAAAAGAAATCGATTGGTATATAATAATCTAAAAATCTAAAAAAAGCTAAGGAAAAAATTAATAACATAAATTTTGTTTGAAATTATATTTTTAAAAAATTTTCTCAGCTCCTAGGACGTATTTCCAAGAATCCTTGGATAGAGGTTTAAAATTTTTCGACATAGTATTACCAAAAAATTTTCATTGAAATCAGTGACCCCAGTCCGTAACCTCCCCTTGTCAGTGAAACCTCAGCTAATGAACTTGAACTAACACTACGACATTAAACAGCTTAGCTTAGGTTTGTACAGAAGCAGACAGATAGAACAGTGAATAATTGAAGCGATGTAATGAGTTCTAGCACATTCTTTACATATTTTAGTAATGAGAAGAGGTGTATTTAGCAGTGTGACATAGTAAAGGTTTAGGGAATAATGAATTTAGAGAGCCCCTACTAACATTTTTGAAGGCAAATTTTATATCATTCACTCAGTGATTATTTACTTTTTATGAATAACAATCCAATAAATATTTGGGTGAGTGACCCATCCAGCAATAATGCAGCTTTTAAGTATTAGAGATCTGAGACAAGACTCCTGATCTCAAATGCACCATAAATTTTTAATTTCTTCCTTCTTAAGATAGTAGTAACTGTCAAAGAATCTCACTCCTTCTGGTATAAATTGCATGAATTTTACCCAGTTGACATAATTTAGTTGATTACATTGTAGTGAATAAAATAGGCATGTAAAATTGTTGGGCTTGGTAAGGAAAGAATCCCAAAAAATTCCCAGGGATAGACCAAAACGAAGGTGAGAGGATTACGTAAAGACTAATCTGGCAGAGTTGGGTTTGGACAGTGGTCAGTAGATGGAAGTACAGTGGCTCACAGTCAAAATGATACCTATGATGATATTGATAGAAAATATTGAATAAATAAGTAGTTCACTTTTTATTATATTGACAACTCAACAGACATTGAGAATACATTATCTTATATATTAATTAAGATAATTAAGGATAACAATATAAATAATGACACAAACAAACATAGATGAATGGAAACGGAAATATTTATCCCACCTGCTAATAAAGATAATACCAATATCTGAGACTTTAAAGTATTACAAGTTATTAATAAATTAGATGACAATAAAGCACCAGGAATAGACAAAATCGCCACATGAATGATAAAAAGTTAGCTCCTTTCCAAAATTGTTAACTGGACTATATAAAACTTTGTTCGAAAGAAAGGATTTTCCTAAACATTGGAAGGTGGGTAAATCAACATTGATTCCTTAGGCTAATTAATTTTCACTGAGACAACTAAGTATTCTTCCTGTAATGAGCAGAATTTTTGAAAAAATAATAAAAAGAGACTAATGCATCACCTACTTAGTAACAATATAATCCACCAACACCAATTTGGACTCAGACCTCAATCATCAACTGACGACGCTCTCAGTGAATTGAATGACCATATTACTAGTACACTCCGGCAAAACAGTAATTTACTAGTAGTATCTTTGGATATCGCAGGTGCTTTTGACAATGCCTGGTGGCCTGTGATTCTGAATAACATAAAGAAATTTAACTGTTCAAAAAACATATACAACATTCAAAATTATTTTTCTGACAGAAAAACTTGCAATCCAGACACTTTCATTATACTGACAAGAAATTGACACTAGGGTCTCCTTAAGGATCAGCACAATCACCTCTACAATGGAACATTTTAATACAACAAATTAATAAGTAGGAAACAGGAAACTACATTTATACAACAGGAAAATACAACATTACTAGCATACGTTGACAATTTATTATTACTTATAAAACGACGAGATTTTGATGAATTACAGATAATAGCAAACTTAACATTATCAAGGCTTAACCAATGAAATAAACTTAATTTTAATCTAAAAGAAACAAAATATATAATCTTTACAAAAAAAAGAATTGTACCATAATTGGATATATGACTCAATACAGTAAGACTACCTAAATGTGACATACTATCGTATTTAGGACTACTCTTTGACAGAAAATTGTATTGGAACAGACAATCTTCATCTTTATTTAGTTCTGTTTCTAATTTTTTGTATTTTTTTTCCCTAATTTTTATTTATTACTTATATATATATATATATATATATATATATATATATATATATATATATATATATATATATATATATATATATAATCTATCATTTTTCACTAAAATTTCATAACATGTCCAACTAAAAGAAAATCATGTAAACAATTTGTAATTTCAATTAATATGCCTTTAAGGCATGAAGCATGAAGGCGAATCAAATAAACAACAATAAATTGGTGGGGTTACCAAAGATTAAAAAATAAAATATATATTTATTTGTGTGCGTGTGTGTAATTCTACTTATTTATATTATAAGATTACTAAAACTTAATAAAGATTACTAACAGACTCCCGTGGTTCCAAAGGTATTTCAGAATCACCTTCTCTGCTTCTTTGAATAGAATTCATGACTAGCTAAAAAAAAAAAAATAATAATATATATTTATTATATGTATTATTAATTCACAATATACCTGTGTGTGTATATAGAATATATAGTTTGTAAACATTACATATTTTCATGCATATGGAATATGCATGCAGTGCGTATAAAAAAATATCTATCAATAATAATCACCAATAAAAATTATTTAACTGGATTTTCTAAAAAAACTTTCTGAAAATTACACAGTTTTATGCTGATTGGAATACTCTATACCAGATCTCCAAACATATTAGCATTTGGACAAATTGAAGACTCCTTTAAGTCCCACAGCCATGACTAGTATGACCATGACTAGTAATAGTTTTAAAAAATTTGATATATATCAATATTTTTAAACATTAACAAAATAGAAATACTACTTTAATATTTTCTGCTAAAGTAATTTGTAATCTGTTTATAAGTAAAATAAAGATAATATTTTAATATTTCCAATAAAAGAGGTCTATAATGCACATGAGCTCGTCATTGGAACCACAATATATCCTCATAAAAAACATCAGCATGGGTACCTGGAATGGAAAAACAGTTAATCAGACCAATTAACATTCTAATCACCTCCAGGAACAAATTTACTCTGCAGGATATCAGATCCAATAGGGGAGCTAACGTGGATTCTGACCACTATTTGGTCAACAATGGAACATTCCTGAACCCAAAGATGCAAGTACTTGCAAAATAGAGACATTTTTACTTAGCCACAGCCAACTGACAGATTGAAAGGACGACGTATGTTATACCAAGGATGAGATAGAACCTCATGATGAAGAAGAAATTACCAAGACATTATCCAAGCTTAAAAATAGCAGCTATTCAAGCACCGTGAATTCTTCAACTTCAGTGAGCTCAAGAAAGCAAAGCATGACCTCATATGAATATAGGATACATATCATATATCTAAATAGAGGAGGTAGTAGTCCTAGGGATTGGTATATAACTGTCAATATATATTTTATTTATAAGAAAGGAAGGCTCATACTACACTAGAGTTTGGTAATTCTAGAGGTATATACTTGGTCTCCTGTGCTGACAAAAGTTTGTCGAATATTCTTTTTCAGGGGCAGAGCACAGAATACAAAACAAAAGCTTTGTTGTCCTTTCAAGGAGGTTTTCAAGATGGAAAATCCACATCCAATCTAATATTGTCTCAAAGGCAAGTTCTTGAGAAAGGCAGGGAATATCAGGTACAGACCTATCATCTGTCCATGAATCTCAAAGCAGCTTAAGTTTCAATAGGGTGGAGCTATACAAGGTAATGGAAGAAATAGACATCCCAAGAAGGCTCATCCATCACACACAATATGATAATATGGTTGGTATCCAGAGAGGATTCTCAGAAACGTAAGTTCCGAGAAGAGATGTAAGGTAGGATGATGCCTTAGCCTGCCTCCTCATTAATCTGGCACTGGCAAAGGTGGTAAGGAAATCCAGTACATAGAGCACTGGTTTTATCTTCAACTAGAATGTCCATGTCCTAGCCTATGGCGATATCAATATTGTGGGAATTTATTGCCTTAGAGGACCCACCAAGTCAACTAGGCTAGAAAATAAATGAAAAAATACCCAATTCATGACTTGTCAGAGTGTCAATTGGATGGAAAAGATCACTATAAGAACTTCGTGTTTTGAAAAGTGAACAAATTCATCTATCTCGACTTGTTCTATCTGTGGTGGCTTAGATAAGAAGAACAGTACAAGCGAAGTGAAGCTTTTTTGGAGAAGGATATATATTCAGAAGGAATCATCTCACTACTTAGCTAAGGGTATATAAACCTCTGACCTGTTCTGTCTTTGTGTAAGGTTCAAAGTCAAATAAGCCAGGTTCCTGGCGTTTGAGAGGAAAGTTCCACACTGAATAGTTGATTAAGTAAAAGTAAACGAACATTGGATACAAAGAAGTAACCCAGAGCTCTACATGCTCATAATGGAGCCGAATTTGAGTCATCCAAACAGATGCTAAGATGGGCTGGACATACTACCAGGATGACTAAACTAAGTGATATTTTTAAAAATAATATCCTTATTTTGAATTCCTTAAAAAGGCTTACAGGATATGTAAAAATATCAGAATACAATAAAACTGGGAAAATTTACCACTGTACAGATGTCCATTGGGCAAAGATTCCTTGTTCACAGTATGAATGAGTTTCTGAGAATAGCCCAGGATTGACAACATGTTTACAGTACAACCTCCGTTTATTTAGATCATTATATATGAATTAGGCAAAACTCCTACAGGTCCTTTTCAATTACAATATAGGGATTAATTACATGTGGCTTTTGACTACCGCTAACTCTACAGGGATAAACAATCCCCCAACGAGTCCTTTTCAGTGGAGATAGGGCTCTTACCAGCTGGTCGCTCAATTCCCTCTAACTCCAAACACATTCACCATTTGTGGGATTCCATTTATGGTGTGATCATAAGATCTTGTGCCACCTATGAAGGTTGAGTGACAAATTTACGACAGTACCCAAATCCTCTATCTATCTATCTATCTACATGGCGCTACAACCCTGGATGGGTCATGACCTCCTCAATGAACCGCCGCAATTAGGCAAGATTTTGTGCAGCCGCTTTCCAGCTTCTATCAGTAGCATCCGCTGCCACGCCATCAACCCTTGATTGAGTGGCAGCCTTGGGCTACCAGCCTGTCGTGTATAACCGTGTACCAGTCTACCATTATATACAAAATGATCCGGACATATCTATACTAGATTTTCTCAAACAACTTTTATCATAAAGATTGTATCAATGATTACTACCGCATGTTGAGAGAGTTCTGGGGAAATATCAGTGCGGCTTTCGCAAATGTAAATCTACAATAGATCAGATTTTCGCCCTACGAACCATGCTTGAGCGCGGAAGGGAATACCAGATACAGACACATCATCTATTTGTTGTCTTCAGATCTGCTTATGATAGCATTCAACGTGAGGCCGTATATCAGGCATTGAAAGACCTCAACGTACCGGTTAAGCTGATATGGCTTATAAAACTTACAATGAGCAATATCGAGTGTATGGTGCAGATTCAGGGAGATCTGTCTGAGGGATTCACCTATCATAATAGCGTTCGAAAGGGAGATTATCTAGCCTGTCTGCTCTTTAATATTGGTTTGGAAAAATATGTCAGAGAATCAAAGGTTCAGACCGGTGGAACCATCTTTAATCATATGGTTCAAATCCTGGAATATGCTAATGATATCAAAATTATTGGAAGATCAAAAGCTGTAGTGGAAGAAGCCTTTCTTACCCTTCACGATGCTGCCAGGAAGCTAGGACTTGTTGTTAACACTAACAAAACCAAATATATGACTACTAATCAACAAAGAGGTATTAACGGAAGCTTTTTCCAAATTAATAACTACTCATTTGAAAGAGTTGAGGAGTATGTGAACCTCGGATCTCAGGTCAATACCACAAATGATGTTTTGGCAGAAATAAGAAGGGGACTAGCATTGGCCAATGGGTATTATTTTGGACTGCATCAGCACTTAGGAAGTAGCTCATTATCAAGATCTTCAAAAATAAGATTATATAAGATGCTGATTCATCCAGTACTAACCTATGCCTCTGGAACCTAGATATTTTCGAAGTCCTATGAAAGGGATCTCCTAACATTTGAGAGAAAGATACTCGGACGCATTTACATCCCAGTAAAGGATGATTCAGCATGGAGAAGACGGGCGAACAGGGAAGTGTTATCAATGATTGGTGAGCCTGATGTTGCAAAAATAGTAAGAATTGGTAGGCTTCATAAAGGATGACCATTTATTTCTGCCATTATATATAAAATGATCTCTAAGTAGTTTTTTAAAAAGTGAAGGTATCTATAAATAGATCGAAAATACAATAAGATAACAAGAACAAGAGTACGCACAATTAATTTTAATTAAACTACAAATTTACAATAGCAGCTTTAATAAGACACTATATATATATATGTATATGAAACATTAATAATCAAAACAAAGGTAATTCATAACTGTAATATCTGATTATTAAAAATTTGTTTCTAAGGAGAGATAATTCTTTAAAAGAGAATTGGTGGCCC